CAATAGGCAAGTATATGATGGAATAAATACTTCGAATTGTGGAGACTCTTATATATGTTTTTCCTTGCATCCTCTTAAAATTCTTGATTATTACTCATCATTTTGCAACAAAGCCCTAAATTTGGATGATGTTCAGAAAATTCTGGAGTTGGTATTCAATTTTAAGAACAATATACAATATTTCCCTTTAAATAGCTTTAATATGTACTTTATTTTCCCTTTTTATATACAATCTGCAATATTCTACATCACTATTGTCAATATTGCTATTCAATCTCTCTATGACGCACTCAAAACGTTTTAAACTACATCTTTGTAATTCCTAATTTTTTACTCTCTTTTTTACTTATATATTTCATTTCAATTTGTTGCAGAGATATTTTCAATTTGTTGCACATATATAATATGGTCTTTTCACCGCTTATTTTTTTTAGATTATGAACTTCAAATTGATTTGTAAAGTCTTTAGCTAGTGGATTATAAAGAACCTTTAGTGCAGTATAAAGTATCTGCAGTGCATATTCTATATAGACTCTAGACTGATTTGTAAAGCATGATAAGTGTATTAATGAATTGTAAGAACACTGCAGTACAAATCTTAGGTTTTTTATTGACTCTGTAATTGGTGTATTTTTATTGAAAACACTCTGAATTATTGTACTCCCTCTGTCCACCATAGATCTTCCCAGACACTATTCACAGGTCAAACTTTACTCACTTTGTTTGTTCAATTTTACTAGTCATTTCATAAAATAATATAGTCTTGTCACCTCTAGTTTTGTAGAACTTGTCATGTAGTTTATTACTATATAAATTTTATTTTAAAATTTACCTCCTATAATCAATTAAATTGAATTGAAAATAAAGTCGGTCAAGCCTCGTAACGCGTAATGGGAAGATCATACATGGACGGAGGGAGTATAAACAATCTTGGACATGACTTTAGATCCTTTGTCTTGGTTTTCATCTTTTCAGGTTTACAGATCATGGGTTATGATGAATAGGTCAGTTTTTTTTGCTTATTTTGGTTTCTAGCACTAGATTTTCTTAAGGTATTGGTTCCTTGGTTTTGGTTTTTAACTTTTTACATGCTTGCATATATGTGTTTTCTCTCATTAACAGGTCTTGGGTAAAATAATGAACACGTTGTTAGTTCTATTGTTGGCCTTGAAAATAAGGGGAATAAACAAAGTGAAATCCAGCATTTGTAAGTATTTTTTAGAGTATAATCTTTATATCTGTAGTTGTACTTCATTCTCCACATTGTTTATATGTTGATTTCGATTTTATTATCCACTTCTAGTAGTGTTGTTCCGTATATGTTTTTGTGCGTGAACAAATCTGAAGTTATCTGTAATCCTCTTAAATGATTGATTTTGTGTCTTTGAAACCTCTACGCTCTATGATGGTTTCTTATGTACCATGTTTAAGATTCAAGCAAAAATTTAGTACAAGTGGGAATAAAAGAATGTATTGGGAATTGCCTATCAATATTGCCTTATCCTCTGTCGTCTTCTCCTTAATATCAGCCTTGGTATCCTACTTTATACTTTTGGCTGCCCATTTTCTTACCATAGCATTACCTTTTAAGTTTTTTCCTTTTCATTTTAATCTGTGCACAATTAGTTAAAAACTGAATGATCAATATCTTCTTAGACCACTGCATACTGGTACTCTAAATAGTGCATTTTAACTACTCTGTAGTTCTTTTGAATTTTCAATACTACATCGGTCCACCAACTTAAATGTGTTCATAAGGCCTTTAGAGAATAGTTGCAATATATGCACACACAACAAACTTAATACATCTATATTATGGGTTTTCTAGTTGAATAAAAATCACGAGTAGTTTAGAATGGTGTAAGTACATAGTGACTACTCTCTTGGATATTGGAAGAACACTTATTTCAGTTTTCATGTGTGCTTTTTAATTTGCATTATGTAGTATATCAATGTGTAGTGCATTATTAGAATTAAGATAATGCATTTATATGGGAATACAATCCATTCTCTGCATCAAGGTAAATAATAATGCATTCTGGTACTATACATTCTCAGACCCAAAGTTCATGTATTGATGGTGAAATTCTCATCACAAAAAATGATGAATTATACTCTAGAGAGTGAGTTTTCTCTAAACGGTGATGCATTTAAAATAATTTATGATACATTTGAATACGGTTTATCTAGATATAGCATATTCTCTAAATAATGTTGCATTTAAAATGTTTTGTGATAAATTTGAATATGGATTATAAA